AGGGAATGGACGAGATATTTTGGTGGAAATAGACTGCTACACGTGCACTACATTGTGTACATTATGCAATTGTCTGTCGCTTTAGTATAACCATTAAGTTAATTGTCTAATCTCTGACATATTATGTACTTTAGAAATTTCAAAAAGGTTAGTCGACATCACAGGAGACCGAAGATCTGGCAGCTACCTCGGACAAAGAATTAGTCTAGCAATTCAAAGGGGGAACGCTGCCAGTATCTTCGGAACCTTGCCTAAAGGGACTCCTTTTAATGATATATTTTAGTTTATGTTAAGTTTCGTTATTTATTTAAATGTATATTATTTTATTATTATTAGTTTATGTTTATAAGTTTAATTTTATTAATATTGTTACCATTACACTATAAAAATGTCATACCTACATTTGACATTTCACATATGTCGCCGTCATTCATGAACATAGATAATCTACTGTTAAGTATTTGTATGCCACTGTAATTATGTACTTACATCGCTATGATCCGTAATTACAGTCACTTTTGTATTTTTTAGGTTAATACGTTTTTGAGAGTAATCATTTATGGCAGGGTCTCTGGCTCACGTGTTGATATTTTTTAATGGGACAGGAGGCAAGTACCTTGAATAAACTGAAGCCGCCCATGGACACTTGCAACGCCGGATCCTATTATTAAAGCTGAATAATCCTGTGGCGCAACAACCTTTTATAACTCTCGATATCAGGTTGTATCTTTTTCTTAGATAATTTTCTTTTATATATTTTGCCTACATAGGACCAGATGTCGGTCAAATGGTGCACTGGGTTTGACCGCAGTGACACAGTTGAAGGTCACCCTTAACGACTCGGCTCTCACCGCTAAAATCCCACCTTTTTATATCACACATACCTGTTCTATACAGGACGTCCCATAGTTATGGGACACGAAGGGAAAGTACCTTAAATATCGTAGATAGGATATTTTACTGAAAGAAAACTTTATGTTATTTTTTAAAGTTAGTAATTCTGCATTCAAAGATTTTCTAAGAATTACTTGCCACGTCTGGGAATCGAACCGACTTAAATGTAAAAAAAATAACACCCCTACTTTTATGATGCCAATCGAATGAATGGCCAAAAACTAATAACTCTTCTTAAGTAACATAGTATTTTAAAAGAAAGGAACAGCGTCAAATTAAAAACATATATGAAACTGCCGTAGTCAAATTAAGGTGTTATGTAGATCATCAGTGCCTTAATTCCTACTAATATTATTAACGCGAAAGTTTGTAAGTAAGTTTGCAACTCTTTCACGTAAAAACTACTGAATGGATTTAAATGAACCTTTATAATAATATAGCTTATAGATCAGAATAACACATAGGCTACAATTTATAATGATATTGTGTGAATTATCTAGCGTCTACCGTCTGAAAACCGCTGGAGTTACACATATGCAAAGTATAATGGAAATGTTTATCTTAAATAGTCAATATCTATAGATTTTTCTACGCCACGCTCATATAAGCTACTCGAAATTCTAATCCTGCGCAGACGAAGTCGCGGGCACCAGCTGTTAAAATTAATATGTTAAATGGAAGAGACTAGCTCCACACAAGGAATCCTAGTCTGGGGCTAGTGAGTTTTGTTTTTTAACTACACATCCTTTTTTTATTATTTGTAATAAAACTTTATTCTTTTCTTTTCAAATGTATGTGGTCATTATCATTCCGTTCCTTCTAAACTGAATTGCAGGTGATTGATCCAAGAACGTATTATAGAAATAATACATATTTACATTAGTTCAAATATTTATTTCCAATTATTTTCCAATCGTGTCTTAACACTCCATTAGTTATGCTTGAGTTATGTTTTTACGCCTAGGAATTACACGGTTCTGGTTATAACCTACTTTTAAAACACTAGTTTATGTCCCCAGGTTCTGCTTCTGTTCTTCGTTTGTATATTCTAGATTAAGTAAAATTGGTCCATTAGTCATGTTTTAAGTGTCTCTTCACTGACACATCATTGAACATTATCTAGTCTAACTTAAGACTAATAGGTATTTTAAAAGTACTAAGGTTACGTACTAAAAAGGATTTTTAACATAAGAAAGTGCCCAATAACACTACTTACAGTCTTTATTAAGGGGAAGACACACTGTTCGTGTTTTATCACTTACGACTGTTAAGCACTTAAGACTAACGTGCTCTAACACTGGATAGTTACGTGACGTGAAAATTTCCGTATCAACTGCATAGGTCAGCTGAAATTCTCGTTTATTTTATTGAATAGTTCTAGGTTTCTGTAAACCATATATATATGGCATTATATATAATTATATGTAATTATATATAAGTATATATAAAAAAAATTACCCGGGTCGTTAGGAAAACTATCCAAATATCGTGGAATGCTCTGCGTGCTGCTGTGAAGACCTCGCAGAGTATACGTTGAAGAATGAAATAACAATATTGTACCCATTTGTTAATTTTACCTTTGCATGTAGCAAAAAAATTTACAAAGTTAATATAAGTTCTGTATTATATTTTTTACGTCTAGGTTGTCTGGAAGTAACTGACAAAGTAACAAAAGTAACTGAAAAAAATCGTGTGTGTACTTATGTACCCGCGTTATACTTCTTTGGCGTAACCAGATAAAAATATTTTCAAACATTTTATCTTTTTCTACGTTTGTAGAAAAAACGACACTAACAATAGAAAAAATTTACTCTCATCATTTTTCCCTAACGCGCGAAAAGAAGTATAACTTCAAAAAAAACTAAAATGTTGACTATAGCTAACTTCAGGGTGTCGGATTTTTCCCTAACGCGCCGAAAGAAGTATAACTTCAATAATAGGGTGTCGTTTGTCCTCTTTTATTCCCATTTTCTCCTGTTTTGTGTCGTTGTGATGTGAATAAAGTGTTAATATTATTGTTAATAAATTCCGACAGTACTCAGAATCATCATATGATTAGCGTCGCAAAAATGCTGGATTGACTTCGACTAACGACTGATTTAAAACATGAATTAGAAATGTATGGTAAACTTTTTAAAATATTTAAACATTGCTAATTTCACTTTTACTAAACGGACTACAATGGCCCACTCTGCATAGCTCAATAGATTGGCTTTTAAATAGTAATTTCCTAATTTAATTCAAAATATTGACGTATCGATTATTTTTTAGATATATAGCAAGTTCGTTTTGTGAATATTAATAAAGAAACAATAGTTCTTGAATTGAAATTAGAATCGAGTTTATCTTTAAGAATGTTTTTCTAATTCTTCGTGTAATGATAACAATATGAATGGGTGATTGATTAAATAGAATGGAAATGACCACGTGCCGTTCGTAACACTTCATTGTTACATTCCTGGCAATAAAGTATGTTTTCTTTCATTAAGACCACTATGCACTTCGTCGCCAGAGTGCTTGCTTCGAAAAAAAAGTTGCCTACATACGAAACCAGGCTAGCGCACGTCAAGATGTTGTCACTGGAGAATCGCAGAAAATAAATTGAGGTATCGTGCCATTAAGATACTTAACAATCAGCTAGATTGCCCCCAACCTTTTAACAAAATTTAAATTTCGTGTACCCAGTAGATATCCCAGACATCCCATCATTCCATTTATCCCTCCTTTCCGGAGAACGCGTTTTGGCCAAAATTCACCGATGTCCAGATTGAGCATTCTATTGAATGAGCTAGATCTGGATATCCATAGTTGCTCACCTCACACTTTAAGAGCGATTTTCGTTTAAAGTTTATTTAAATTATATTATTGTTTTGCTTAATTAATTTTATTATTTCTTATATGCTATGTTAGCCTGTAAGTGCTTGACACATTAAAAATTTTATTTTATTTTTCTTTTATCAATGTATCAGTGTGCCGAGCGTTGGCAAGTTTTTATAAATAAATAAATTCTATATCGCAGCCAACTATTTCAATAAGCCGTTCAATTAGCAGCCTAGCCTTTTAACTAAACAGCGCCGTTTAACTAGCGGCCTGAAAGATATTAAGCTAGTTGGCTGCGACATAAAAACCATTGGCCAGTCTTTATTTAATTTTTTATATTACTTTAAAAAGGCATATATTTTTATTTTACATTTATTCGTTCGATAACGTATCTTAAAACGTATATTAACTTAGAAGAGGGCTATTCGTGCAATCTATAATTTAAAACGTAGGGAATCTCTGAGAGATAAATTCAAGGAAATATACTTACCTTTCCCTCGCAATATATTTATGAAAATATTATGTATGTATACAAAAATAGTGATAAGTTTACTAGAATAGAATTAACATACGCACAATGTTAATACACGGAACAAACGCAGGCTGCAATTTCCCCGTACTATCACACTATCTAAAGTTAGTAATTCTTTTTTGGGAAAAGGGATACTCTTCTTTAATAAAATTCCAGAGGCTCTTTATCTCTGCCTTTTAATAAATTTAAGAAATGTATCAAAGAAAAGCTGTGTAAAAAGGCTTACTATAAAGTTTATCTGGTTGATAAAAGGGCCTGGGACTAGTGCTGGACAGGCTACTTCTAATTAATTTGCGATATTTGTTTTAAAATAAGTGTTGTTTGATGATTTGCTATTTTAAAAGAGTACCGAGAATTTTTTACGCCGGCTTTTTCTCTCGGCCTACACCCTCTGTGTTCTTTGCCGATGAGTAGGGATTCCTACAGATTCAAAATTAATGACGTGGAATAAGTGATACCTGTATCTTATATTCCATAGTAAACATATTTTTTTATTTTTATTTTTATCTAGTCTCAAATCTGTCAAATTACTTTGAAGTATCACATTTATAACACCGCTCGGGGCAAGATTGTGATTTAGGATTTTTGAAGTACACGACTACATTTAATTACATAAAGTAATAAAACAATTAAACCATCCTCAAATATGTTTCAAACGGAAAAAAAATTTAATTAGTTAAGTATTACTCATTTTATTTATAAAAGAAGTTTGTCTTGCATAACAAAGCTTATAATATAAGGATGACCACTTTTATTACACTAAAGGAATGCTAAGTCTTTTAATGATATCACCGATAGTAACAGCACATCCTGAGATAACACAAAACACTCCAAAAAGGACTATTATGATGTTCTTCCATAGGATCCAGTTGAACTTTCCAAGATCGTTCCATTTGTAAATAGTTTCTACTATTCCTGGTATCACGAGACCGAGAATTGAGTAGAATAAGGCGCCAACAATATTTGTAATGTACTCCAGCATTGGCAGTGCTACTCCAATGCCACCTAGGAGAAAAAAATATATTTTAATACTAATTAATAACAAAATGTTGCAGTGTACCCTGAGCTCGTGGGTTCGAACTCCGGCTGTGCATCAACGGACTTTCTAAGTGCGCATTTAACACAGTATACAGTGAAGGAGAACATCGCGAGAACACCATACCTTAGACCCAAAAAGTTGACGGTGTGTCAGGCATAGAAAACTGATTACATTTGCCTGTATGAAAATATTACGAAACAGATACAATAATCGGAATCCCAGACCTAAAAGGTTTACCGCCACTGGTTTTGAAGTGAAACTTTTTTAGGCGCATGCGGGTAAAATTTTTACAGATGAAACGCAATAATAATAATATAAACGTCACGAAGATGTGCAGCCTTTCTGTCGAAGAAAAGGGAGAGCAATTGAGACCGATTGAGAGATAGTGACAAGGGCGAATTGCCTTATAGAAATTCTATTTTTTAAATTAAAATTTCGTAAAGAGAATTTATGAAATATTAGTATTTTATATTTTATGCAAAATAATTTATTGAAATCTCAAATGACGAATTGTAAATTAAAATGCCACGTGTTTATCTTATCGAAGAAATCAATTTCAAAGAAAAAAAATATAATTTGTATGAATTTTCGACACTTTTAATATTTTAATGACAATTAAATTCATTAAATTTGTAACATATCTTTCTTTTTCCCTCCCTCCCAGTCTCGGAAATCTAAAGTTTTGTGTAAATATAAACAAGACTTAAAAATTAGTTTGCCAAAGAAGTTTCACTTCTGACATGTGTACTTTGTGCGCACGCACTTTTTTTTAATTCGTTAACACCGTCTAAATAGTAATTAGAGCATATGGTCGATATGGGTTTGAATCCCATATATAAGGCAAAATATCCGTTTACAAATATTAATACAAGAAATTTTCTATTTATAACGCCTACAGGAATCCTTACCGCAAAACAGTACAACAGCAGTTCTTCCCATAATTTGTGACATATTCCTATATTCTTTCTTCACATAGGGCTCTGAGAATCTTGTGAGCACTCCGACAACGACGTAAAAGTGTAAAGGATACGTGAGAAATATCGAAATGGCTATAAAAACCTTCGCACATACAGCTGGCCTGAAAAAAAAAATCTTCCAAATACACTTGATTTAAAAAAAAAATATTAACAGTGTAATAAAATCTTTAAAATGTATTTATAATTCCTATAAAGGTTTTTCTGCAACCAATTTTTTAACTAAAGCCTTACTTAGGTGTCAACGTGTATGGGTATGGTAGTTACAGCGCAATTTATCTGTAAATTCCAATAGCAACATATTGCTTTTATTTACAAAGGCTTGCCAACGCTCGGCACACTGATACGTTGGTAGATAAAGAAAAATTAAATACAAAATTTTATGTGACAATTTGATGTGTGTGGCAAACAACAAACACGATGAAAATACATCGATTCATAAATTATAAAAACTAAAGGATAATTGATTTGACATTATATAGTTCTCTCAATGTCCGTAGTGCTGATGTCGCAGACTTGGGATTGCGTTTAACAAAATCTCATTATTGTGATCGGGTTGCTGTAAGTATATTGCTATAGCTATTGGAAATGTTAGGGCCTCGGGAGCTTTCAGTTTTTTGCCAATTATTGTAGAGTTATAATAAAGTTTCTATAAATAAATATAAAACAATTGCTAAAAAGGTATGACCCCAATCCGACCTATACCTCAGATCTCGACACCAGGGCCAAGGAGTATTCTCGACTTGCGAGTCGAGCCATCGGTGTCCTCGCGCGCTGCTGCCTTCATCTAGGGCTTAAAAACCCGCACCCGTACCGCCCTGTATTAGCAGGGCGAGCCAATACCCGAAGGGGGCATATGCCACGAACGGCCCTAAACACCCCCCCCTCGTGAGGGGTGTAACATGAACATGATTGAACGCTAAATAGGTCTACCCTATGAGTGGACGATTCAGGACAGTCAAGCGAGTTGTCTTAGAGTTAACGAATGATAATTACATAAATTATAAGGAAAAACTTTATTTTTGCTTTGGTGTATTTGAGCAAAAATTAAATAATTAATTGTAAAGTTTTAAATTAGCTGTCAAAGACGTTCTTACCAATCATCAATAGGCAGGTTCAAAGTGATAGAACCCTTTAGCTCATCGCCATATCTGAAGTATCCAAACACACCTAGGATGGTGTAAAGCATCATGATAAAGGTCATCGCTATTACCAGAACGCTGGGGCATCCCAGAAAGTGTTGCGGTTTCTTCATAGCATTCTCTACCGGCATCACAACGCCGATTCCTTCCATTGCGAAGATCACTGTTCTTTTAAAACATATTATGGGGGCATAAGAAGTATGTAACGTGAATCAAGCAAACTAATTGTTAAACTATGAAGTTGATGTGTTCAAGGCAAGTCTGAGGTCGGACAGAACAACAGCCTAAGTGTGAAATAATTAGTAATTATAAATTCGGAACAAGCTTCCTTTAAATGTGCATTAGTACCATCGACCTTTTTACATAATTAAATCTGGTTTATTGATAATTCGAAAGCACAAGGATTGTCTCACGAGAACGATAAATATGTCTATAATTGAGAAATTTGCATAACAGGATCACGTTCCATACAGATATAAATTAACTTATTCAATTCTCTTAGTAATAGACCCATGAATACAAATAAGTAATTGTTATTTAATGCTTTAGGGTGCATTTTGGAGGTATGTGTCAAAAAAGTCGCATTTGTACCTTCTTTAAAATTTATGGAATTTAATTTGTATTAATGACTAGCTGCCCCCGCGAACTTCATCTTAATATTGTTTTTACTTAGCCTAACTTTTTAGTACCTACATACCATTTGGAACATTTTGATATGCATTGACTTTTCAGATTTTTGGAATAAAAACCTATGTTCGAAATAAAACTAAATTTTTCATTTATCCTCACAGTTCAAGGAATAAATAAAAATCTCTCTTATTGGTCCAGCCGTCTTCGAGTTTTGCGTTTAGTAATATTTGATTCAGTTATATTATATAGATAATAGAACATTGTCATAATACTTACGAAAGAAAAGCCGGCAAGCGAGCTGCAGGTCCGATCACCTTTCTACCATTCAATGTTATTTCATCCTTAAATATATAGTAGATGCATATTGCAAATGTGGCTACTAGAAGAACATTTGCGATCAATGAAAATGGGGCCAGCCATTTTAAGTATCTTATTTGACACATTATACACAGTGGTACTAGAATCGCCAGGCAATAGTATTCAACTGGTACTATTGCAGATGTTATGTAGCGATCGAAAAGCTGAAAGATAGAAAAACAGTATTAAACTTAAAAAGTTCTTTAATTAATAACGTGAATTTATTATTCTTGTTAATATAATACTCTCGATAATTTAACACTCGTTAATTTGAATATCTCCGGTTCTTGAAAATACTCCATAAATGAATAGAATCAATCAAATGTTAATTTGTCCCCTAGGTAATTTGAAGTTGAAGACCGGGCTGCCCTACTCTTTATAATTTGAAATATTTATGGTGCACAGACCGTCAATTGTTTTTTAAATTCTTAGGGACATGAAAAAAAACTCTTAAAAAAATATTACAGACAGATTATTCTTTTTGAAATAAAAATTTGTGAATAATTGTATTATTGTACATAATTGTTAATACAAAATAATAATATCGAAATAATAAATCAGGAATTTTAATCAAACTCTATTTACTTGAGTCCTCGTGTGTATTTAAATGCTTGCTAATTTGAACACTTGTTACTTTGAAATGTAAATAATAATAATGTAATTTATATCTGGTTTCAAATTATCGAGAGTAGACTGTATATTACTCGTACACTCGTATACTCGAATGCAGATTGCCGCATTGCCTATCTATTTAGACTTAAGAAGTTTTATTTGCATCAACCAATAAAATATAATATTAATCTTATGAATACGTTAAGAATAAACTTCAGAAATTCAAAATACAGAATAATATTATATTATTATCATATCTACATACAGTATACAGAATTTACAATATTTTTAACCTATTTAAGTTATAAATAATAAAAAATGGATCCTGAAATAAAATGGTCCCTGTGGCAGTACTTTTAATGCTGGCAGCATTTCGCTGTATTAACTTATTCGTTGAGCGCGTCAACTTAAAACTTTATTTAGCGTATACTTGAGCCCCAAATATATTATACGATAAAAATTGCAAACTATGATATTGTTTATAGTGTTATAGTCATTCTTCTGTGTCATATCAAAACAAATATTATTCCGCCAAGAATCGAACCCACATTACAAAGCTACTGCTTAAGTTTAATTATTTTTACATAGTAATAATATAACATACCTGTTTTATAGAATCTGCAATTAAAACAGTGAAAATACAGCACACTCCGAGATAAGTCAATAACTGAGCCACTTCAGCAAAAACCCTAAAAAAAATACGCATAATTTATTTAGGTCATGTTAAAGACGTCAAGTAAAAAGATGGGCAGATGGTCTGCGAGATGAAGACCAGGACAGAATGGGATAAAATAAGGGAGGTTAGGCAATCGGACCTTAAAACTGGTTAAAAAAAGTTAGCAGTTGCTTTTCTTACCAATTAATTATTTGCTATATTATTTATAAACAAATGTTACCTAGCGAATCTCGCAAAGCGTCGAAATTTCTTCGGTCCAATGGTAAACGCTGCTTCACACGTCTCTGCGTAGTTTAAAAGAGGCTTTCTCAGCACTTTACAACAACCTCGAGATACTGTCACCTGTAAAACATTAGCTTCGTTTAAGCACGTACTGTACCTTATATACTTTACTTATTTATTCACTTCGGATTCACAATTAAATCCACAATTAAAAAAAAATAGTTTTCTAAATTGAAGAGAACTGAAAATGCGCGCTCGCAACAAATGTGAAGTGCCTACCTCATTTGTCCTAAACACCGTATCAAATTTATTAAACTTATAATGATATATTTAGAGTCTTCGAGAATGTATTAGTATAAGATCCCGATATACAACGACCTTCACCGAGATGCTTATTTAATGAAACGTATTTTATATTTAATTTAATATGTCAATAAATATAATCCATATGGGTTGCCTAGCAAATTTCAGTCCAGAGTATGTTTAATTAATATTTAAAAAAAATAATTATTTATAATTTGCATGTAGTAAATTTTTTTTTTTCAATCAATATTTTTAATCAGGGTTATATATGTATCACTATAACTTTCTTTTTTACTAAAGATGTATATATACTTTAGTGTCACATAAAAAATATACACATAAATAATTAATTGATTAAAAACAACCTAACATTTGCATATTCTATGGGCTTCATACTTTCGATTGGTATAGAATTTATCTAATAATCATACCGGTGAAATGTTTAAAAAATTTTTTTTTTTTTAATATTAATTAAAATACTCTGGACTGAAATTTGCTAGGCAACCCATATGTATTATATTTATTGACATATTAAATGAAATATAAAATACGTTTCATTAAATAAGCATCTCGGTGAAGGTCGTTGTATATCGGGATCTTAGACCATATGGTAAGTAATTCAATTTGAAGCATACCATAAGCTTTCTTAAAGCAATCCAGTTGAAATGCTGATGAGTTTAGGTCTCTAAAGTCAATAGTATTTTTTCGTACCATGACCGCCTATAAGCTGAAACGTATTGGCATCGAAAGACCGAACGAAAGAACGATAATTTTGTTTGAGGTTTCTATGTATGTTTTGAAATTTAACTGTCAAACTTGTAGTAAAAACCTCATGGTATGCATAAGCGATGCATCTCAGTTGTAGATTGTCAATAGGCTCGCAATAAGAGCCTATGGTAGGCCCCCAGGGCTTCTTCTATAACATATATAATAATACAGTTTACAGCGTTAGAAAATTCCGAATCGTAGTAAACTGAACCTAAGTATATAATTTTCAGGTGGAATAGGATTTAGCTAGTCTATAATATGGTCTTATTCATTAAAATTAAAGAATTATAATTGCACTTATTAAACCAATCTATTAAAACGTTTTTGTGTATGTAAAAAGTACTCTTTTTGTCTTTTTCTATCAATCTTAAGAACCCGCACTCTTTTGACCCAATAACTACACAAAAAATAAGACACAAAGAGAACTTATATATTATAATCCAAGTATGTTATAAACTGTGTTATAAACAATTAGTATGCTTACAAATATATGCACGCAGTGTCCACATACAAATGCTACTATGATTGTGCCGACAATGCCAAAGCCCCATCCAGCATTTGAGAAGGCTAGAGGCATAGCTAGAATACCAGAGCCTAATGAGGCTTTTAGTAAATTTGCTAGAGATCGTACATCACTGAAAAATAAATTGTGCTTTAATCTTCTAAAAGTATTATCAAAGCTTTTGATATTATAAAATTACTTAAGCTTGGACTGCACCATCGCGTCTTGTTCGATGCGTAGAAATTCTGGGTTCTATTTCCAGCAATTTTTTTATAATAAACGGGAAGGTACAGAAGCAAGTTCTACGACCAGTGAACAGATGTTTAAGCAGCAAGTTAGTTTTAACCCCCATGTTATACCCATTCCATATCACCTACATTTTTTATGGGACATGAGGCAAACGAGTCAGGCATGTCAAATTGAATAACGTGATTAATACCGCCCATGGACACGTCGGAAGATAGCGGGTATGTTGCCGATCTTTCAGGGAATTGTAAAAAAATACATTTAGAATTTTATTCCTGATTTGACAATTCTCTGATCTGACAAATCTCAACCTCCATAACCAATTATTTTATGGGATAGGAGGCAAATGAGCAAGCTATTGAATGAAGTGGATACGTTGCCGGCCTTTGGAAATGTTACACTCTATTCTTGACGGCTGCTTCATTAGTTGTATATGCGTGTGTTCTTCACAACTAACATGGAATTATCAATATATAGAAAATGCAATTGACAGACTATAAGTCATCGTACTTGTGGCATACATAACTAAGGCCCACCCAACATTTGAAGCTGAAACCTCATAGCTTTGTATCTAATGTGCTAACTATATTGATTGGAAGTAGTTCAAAATTATTTCCTAAATAAATCCCCATGTTAACGCTTCTATTAATATTTCTAAAATCTATAACGTAGTATAAAGAAGAAGTATCGTAATATATTTCATTTTGTAACTAATAAACATCACCGGTTTCAAACATTCTTTCACCATTTAAACGCTTCAATCTCTAGGTAGGATCGCTATATTAAAAAAAAGGTTTAGCTATGCTCAGCCAGATCCGCTAATAACTCACGAATTAGGTTTCTTCACTTGCCGATGCTCATATGGATTATACTCCTCATCCTGTACCTCACCATTCTCACTTTTCTGTACTTCCATACCACTATTACATATACACAATTTGAGTATATTTATCTGTCACAAGGCTGTTAATGACAAGCTTTGATTAAACATAAGAGTTTCATTGTTATAATCTCAGTATTTAAAACGTTGATAAGAGTAAGATAAACGAAACCGCAGTGCTTGAATTAATAAATATATGATGAGTATCAAATGAGAAAATGATTTGCGGACAATTAAAACCTTTTGTACCAAGAAGGTTTCGGTTAAATATATTCAAATCAAATCAAAATTATTTATTCATATAGGTAACACAATGTACACTTATGAACGTCAAAAAGAAATACATATTAAATGCTTCTAATTTCACATTTACTGCCAGTTCTCAAATCAAGGGCGTATAGCGGAAGAGAAGAACTGGCAATAAACTCTCCGCCACTCTTTTTAATCGCCAAGTTTTTTGTTTTACACAAGGTTTGACACATGACATTTTAAGTACATTCAAACACGAAAAACAGCCAACCAGTGTTGCCCTAGTGCTATCAGCTAACTTACATCCCTGAGTTTCTATACAACCTCGGTCTTTATGCGCATTTAATATTAAATTGTACGGTGAAGGAAAACATCGTAAGGAAACCTTGATTTAGTCCAAACCCAAAAAGTCAACAGCGCACTATAGAAAATGGTAGAACGACGGCATATAAAAAATCGTTTTTAGTAATGTTGTTATTGACGCACTTTTAAAAATTTATTAAATGGGTATACGAGTGGAACTTTAATATAATGTAGGAATCATGATTTTTATTTGGAATATGTAATTTTTAAATCCGCAAAGTATGCCAAAGAATGTCTATTTCAGATCTGTTCGCTTCAATATTTTAAAATCAATTTAATTAAAAACTTCGTAAGAATAGTTTTAAAGTGTAATACATTTTTAGAAAGCCGATTTTAACACGTTCGTTGCATTACGAGATCTATCAGATCTCTTGCAGGACTTTTGTATTGTGCGTTGAACATAATCATGTTTTTTCACTCCTTGCGGGAGGATGTAACTTGGAAAGTTCTTTAAGGATGAGCAGGACAAATATACATATTTGCTTCCTACTTAAAGCTGAATTTAAGGACTTTAAAAAATAAATTAGAGATGGATTAGGTCCCTAACGCACAGTACTGTAATTGTTTTAATTCCTTGCGTTAGGAGATATGTCGGTACTCGTGAAATCGTACGCCTCGTAGACGCAAGAGATGGAGGATGGGATTTTTAGTGTTGTCCTAGAATCGACATTCGGGAAGTCGCGGGCACGTTTTGGAAATAACACTCGCGTATATACCAGCGTGTTGATTTTATTTTTGATAAACAATGAGTGATTAAGTTTAAAAGAAAAAAGTGTAAAAAATCTATTTTATTGGTGAGGTTTCTAACAAAAAATCAACGCCGGATTATACTGCTGCATTGTCCAGTAAAATATTTGTTTTGGAAAATGTTTAAATTTGCCCCCCATTGACTAATAATGACAGTGATTCTGATTATGAAATATTTAACGATAAACCTTTTTCGTTGGAGCACACGCAGTTAAACAGCACTGACGCTTCTAAAAAACTAAACGAATTGTTACCATTTGCGCGTAATGTGCAAGCAATCAATGTGCTTACCATGTTTTAATGAAAAACACTTTGCATAATTAATAAAACTTTTAGAATCGATAACTGAGATATTATTTTATTCCCATCACTACTTACTACACATATTGAACTATCTTCGGGTGCGGTACGAGATACAATCGATATCTAATTTTTTTTTGGTATTTGTAGTTTATTCAAATGTCGTAACTGCGTGCGAATCTAGCAAAATATAAAGCAATTAGCTATCTTTCACCCACAAAAAATTCAAAATATATGTCATTGTTTTTTTGGAAGATATAAATTATTTTCAAAAGTGTATTTTTAGGAGACTGATTAGGTCTCTAACGCACCAGAGGATAGGCTTGTTACGAGATCTTTTAGGTCTCCAACGCACCAGCTGAAAGTTCTTTAAAAATGATGGCGCAGTGAACGTGTTAACGCAAATATAACATAGTAAGTTTTATGATTACATTTATATAAAAAAACATTAACAGTAAGTGACAGTGACAGTACACAAAAAAGACAGTTTATTAACTTCGTCTAGACTTTAGACAGTTGCCGATGTCTTCCGGTGCTTTACATTTGATTTGTTTTGTAGCGTAGATATTCCAGAATAGCATTTATTAAAATCAGCCGCGGTTACGGAAGTTATCGCGAAAAGTATGATACAAGTCAGGAAACAGAAAACCTCTAACTATTATGGTTTCTAATGTTTTTCTATTGAATGAATTAGTTTTCCGTTATTATTGATAACAGGGCATTTCATCTTCATTTTGCACTCATTTCGGTATAATTTACACTAATAAACATATTTTTTCAAGTACTTAAGTATAAATTTTACAAAGTATGTATTTTATAACCTTAAATATTTTATGAAATAAATATTAGTAATCATACCTTTTAATTACTTATTAAAATAGGGTTGAGCTTTATTATCCTTGTTCTATAGTAAAGTAATGAAAAAATAAATTTTTATTCACTATAATGTCGATAAGGAAATAAAATAAAGGCCATTTTGTTAAACTGTTGTTTTTATCATTTATTTATACATACATATTCTATTAATAGTGAAGCATTAAATACCCTATGCGAGTGCAAGAATTCAAAAGTCTTTCTTGACAAATAATATGAAACAGACCTCGATTTTCCATAGTGCGGCGTGACAACAGATTTTAGAAAAAATAAAATCTGCGGTCCAGGTCTAAAAGGTTGTTGTCATACGAATGGAAAATAAACAATAGTACCTAAAGGTTAGATTAATAATAAAACACTTTGTCTTTAAGTACAACTACAAATAGTTTACAACACAAATACGAGTCATTTCCATAATTGAGACCGCATTTAATAAATAAAATTGGCAAATATCGACACTATTTTAAGTACGTAATCTAGCGGTTTATCAAAAACAAAATGAATCAAGTGATTATCGGCTCTGTCAAAAAATAATTTAATATTTCTTTTATTTATTTGTTGAACTCTGAGGAAGGATTTTATGGCGAGAAAAATTGAAGTGTTAAACCAGTTTTTATTCTGGATAATCGAACAGTCTCTATGCCGTAGCATGTTCTAAATGTTGGTATGCAGCTACTAAAAAGGTAAGCTAAGTAACAAAATCGTATTAGGGCGAAACGAAGTTCGCGGGAACATTTAGTTTGGAATAAAATGCTCATACATAAATAATTATTTAATAAATTTAATTTTAATTAATTTATCTACATCACAGTTTTGTTGTGCAGTATTTCGATAATATCCATAATAGTCACTGTACAACCAGATATCAGACATGTAAAACCAAATGCGACAATAAGAATGTTCTTCAGCAAAACCCATTTAAGGAATCCAAGGTCCTCCCAGCGGAATACGGTTTCCACTATTCCGGGAATAATCAGTCCCAATATTGAATAAAAACAGGCTCCGACGAGATTTATAATCTGTTCCAGTAGCGGTAGCGCTACGCCGATTCCAACTGGAAATGTATTATTAAAATGTCAAAGTATTCTATAATTGAATGGAGATGGATTTAAGAGGAATAACATTGTATGTAAGCAATGAGTTAGGTTTCATTGAATGATTAAAATTAGATGTAGTAAGATGACCTCATAACAAGTAACACACGTTTGAAGATGAGACAATTAAAATATATAAATTACCATCACTATTTGTCTATTCAAATTTTTTGAAGTGAAACTTCTTTAGGCACATGAGGGTAAAATTTTTACGGATGAATAATATTAGCGTCACGATGATGCGCAGCGTTTTTGTCGAAGAAAAGAGAGAGAGAGTGTGAGAAGGGCGAATTACCTTATAGAAATTATATTTTTAAAATTAAAATTTCGTAAAGAGAATTTATGAAATATTAGTATTTTATATTTTATGCAAAATAATTTATTGAAATCTCAAATGACGAATTGTAAATTAAAATGTGTTTATATTATCGAAGAAATTAAAAAAATAATAATTTATAATTTGTATTAATTTTCGACACTTAATATTTTAATGACAATGGAATTCATTGAATTCCTAAGATATCTTCCTTTTTCCCTCCCTCTAAGTCTCGGAAATCTAAAGTTTTAGATTTGAATAAATATGAACAAGACTTAAAAATTAGTTTGCCAAAGAAGTTTCACTTCTGACATGAGTACGAGTAAGTACTTTGTACGCACGCACTTTTCTTAAAATTATTAACATGATATGTACAAAAATAATACAAATTACAGTATATACAACAGCAAACGAGCTGCAAGGACACCTAACGTTGATGTGATGTGATGTACACTAGTGTCTTTTAAGAATTAGTACGGTCTTTTCCTGAAGTACAAATTGGTTCGGCAGTGTGGTTCCACATAGTGGTAGTAGGCACAAATACCGTAAAGCGCTCACTTGTGGATCAACTTAAGATGTCGATCTGATAGTGATGCAAATTCATAGATGGAATCAAAAATAATAAGGCGATAGGGGAAACTAAGAAGTTAAACGTAGCATTATTTAATGATAGAAGTGTACACTTTCTTGTGGTTCGAGATTTTATACAATGACTATTATGTGCTGTTATTATCATTTAATCATAAAAAAAATATTTTTTTGATAATAAGAATTTATTACGGTAAGGTAAATATCTAAAAACTTGTTACACAACTAAGGCACAATTAAACACTTTGAATCGCAAAAGATAATTAGCAATTATTAAAAAAAAACATTAGCAGTACATACCACAGAAACAAACACCAAGAACTCGGCCTCCGATATCAATAAAACTCCTGCAATTGTCTTTGACGTGACGATCTGTGTATCTCTTAAATATGTCAAAGACAACGTAGAATTGTAATGGATAAGTGAAGAAAATCGACAGAGCTATGAAACCCTTGGCGCAGATCGCGGGCCTGGATGGAAATAAAGAACACACAATACAGAAAACTCGTTATTAATTATTAAAGATTTAAAGTAAAAATCTTTAACCGGAAAAGAAAATTCATTAGTAATAAATTAATGTAACTATTAACTTATTACTAATGATAGGCTAGGATGTAGGGGTCCCTGTATATATATATATATACAGGGACCCCTACATCCTCATAGAAATTAATCCGTGGTAAGAAAATAAATTATGTTTGGTTTAAAAAAGCGACTCCTGACTCAGAAGTGCCTTCGAGTCCTGGCTGTGCATCTATGGATTCTCTCTTTGTTGGAATTAACATCATCATTATGGTGTAGGTTCTCTAGGAGGCAGTATGTCGACGTATCGGTTAGCTTTTCAAGACAGGCACGACTTTCAGTAATGAAGACCACGAGGAAGTCATACAATAATGTGATCACTAGTTATCATTCGTTCGTTCGTTTCAGCCTAACGTCCACTGCTGGACATAGACCTCTCCCCCACATTTACGACTCCCAGTACGACTGGTTCTCCGCGCTTTGCATCCAATGTGTTCCCTCCACCCTCACCAGGTCATTTGATTTTTCGTTCAGTAACTATTTAACTCCAAGCTTTTCAGTGTCATGACCATGATCTTACTTTATTGTAAATTTGGTTCCTTTTTTGTCAAAAATTATTATGTCATTATAACGGAATGCGAAAGTTGTCCATTACGACCTTTTTTGACCTTGATATAGGCTTTTCTGAATCACGAAGACGATGCTTCAATTAGTGTCAAGTCAACGAATAAATAATGTCTACACTTATAATCTAAATAATGAGTGTAAATATTCTTTCTTCAAGGACGTAACTGAACGAGAATTACACTAACGCCTCTTAGTGATAATTAAAAGTGGAATGTTAATACATATCTGATAACAATGTCGGAGTGGTTCTCGAAGTATAAGCTTAGCAGATTAATCTGTATTTAGATATGGAATTAGGTAAACACTTAATATTGCTTATAATTCTTAGAAAAGTATACTTTTATGTAGTAAGGATCGTTAAAGATGGAATCTACATATATTTTAAGTCTACGTATATATTGCCCTGAACATAATATTTTAATCAATCTTTTATTTTGAATAGCCATGGTTGGTCGGTTATATGTTTACATTTGGAACTATTTACCGGGTCTGTTAAAAAAATCCTGTCCAAAGATTAAAAAAAAAAGAACAAAAAAAAAACTTTTGATGACTGGTTTGTGTAGTAATAAATTCCACGTGTATAATATTTTGTCTATTATTAGGGAAATTTGTGTCTATTATTTTATGTCCAGTATTCCCACAGCTACATTTATAATAATATCAAAACAAATTCACAAAAAAAAAAACATAAAATACAGTTAACAAATTTAAAAAAATTAATCAAGAAAAATATTTTAAGACCGTTATAATGTTTGTTCTTCTTTCTAAGTAATGAGATTCATTCTTGGTTAGGTCAATTTGAAGAGTTCCTTTTTTTAATATTTAAATTATTAACCCACCAGTCATCTATAGGAAGATTAAGAGTGATGGATCCCCTTGCAAGGTCCCCGTATCGGAAGTAACCGAAAAGCCCAAGGGTGCTGTAAAAGAAGACAATGGCTGACATCGCCACCACAAGCACACTGGGGCAACCAAGAAAGTTCTGGGGCTTCTTCATCGCATTCTCAACGGGCATTACTAATCCAATTCCTTCCATTGCGAAGATAACAGTTCTGAAAAAGGTGTTTAGTTATTCGTTGTTAGGTCGGTAACGCATTTGCGAGTGTTTTTAAATTAATGTTTATTTGACGTTTAAAACACAAAATTTTGGATTAAAAAAAATGGGCTTTGGCTCAATATGACGTACTTTTATTGTATGAATTACAAACGACGAAACCGAAGTTCTGGGTAATTTATTTTATTTATTTAATAAAACCAACAGAGTGTACATGAGTAATGAAACAAACATAATAGCAAAAAAGGTAAACTTAATAACAAAATCTCAATATTAAAGTCAAAATGGATGGGGCCAGTCAGTGGTTAGAGTGTCCATGGATCTTCCCTTTAGATTGGAGGAAGGGCATTCCTGCAGTCTCATATCTCTAGTATTAAAGTACTTACGACATAAAAGCCGGGAGTCTGGCCGGGTCACCGACGATTTTCTTGTCTGTAAAATTTATCTCATCCCCAAATATATAGTAGAGGCAAATCACGTAGGTTGCGACGAGGAACAAATTTGCTAGCAACGAGAATATCGCGAGCCATTTCAAGTATTTCACTTGGCATAGTAAACATAATGGCACTAATATAATCAAGCAGTAATATTCTACAGGTAGAACAACGCCAGGTACGTATCTATCTATTAACTGAAAAAAAAAAGATAAAATAACCATTGGGTTAGCAGCTAGCACATTCGACTGAAAATCATAAGGTTCTTAGGGTGAGATTCAGAATCAAAATATGACCTTTATTTATTACAATCTATCGTATACATAATACTCAGAAAAGCTTGAAGTCAAACTTGGGCTTACTTGAGCCAAGTGATGGAAATCGGCGATTTGAGCGAGACTAATGCGAAACTGGCGCCACTAAACGGACAATCGTGTAATTAAAAATACAGATAATAATGCATTATGTAATGTTTAACTAATACAAAATAACTAATACACAAATAAAACTTTTAAAGGTTTAATTTTTTTTATTTCTACTTTATTGTTTAAACATACTTTTAACTAGTAACTTAAAGTTACTTTATTTTTACAGTTCTAGTCTCAGATCATTTTTTTTTAATGGCTCTGGCACGATTTGTGCATTAGCCAGCGTCAAGTATAGGATTTTTTATTAATTCGTGCTTGTCTTTTAGAAATTCGACAGTGTCCTCTATGTTCGGTTTAAGCACTCGCCCGGTACCGCACAACCCTCCCAAAGGCCGAGAACAAATTTAAATTAAATTAAAACTTGCCCTCGAACCGGGAATCGAACCCGGTACCCCTCACCTAGCTGCCACTTAATAAGACCGCTAGGCTATGAGGCCCCCACAGATCATATTAATATGTCTAAACGTGTTTTTGCAATAAATAAATTACAACCTTTTTATATAACTTCACAGATTAGTATAGTTTTACCAAAAACGATAGAAACTAGACTTCGCGAAGTTTGACAAGTGTCTCTGATTTTACCCGGACTTCGGCTTACAATAACGTATCTGAATCTCAGCCTTAAATCCCGGATGGAAAATAATTGCATAGAAGTGATAAGTTATTAATGTTAAGTTTGAAAGGCAGTAAAACTCTGTAAGACGAGCGCATATTTTTTTCCTTTTTATCAAAAGGTTATTAGCATTTTTCTATACACTTTAATAAATTAATTATTTACTTGCATTTTTCTATTTTTGATTATTTTATACGCGCCCGTGTCCCACACCTAAGGGGCCGCAGAATAGCTGGGCATAACTTTTAGATAGAAGTTTTGATAAGAGTATTTACACATTTAAAGGTATTACTAAATATTTTTTTTCTTTTTTTTTCTGATTTCTCTTTTGTAGTGTGATACGAGTTACCTAGAGTACAAGATATACACTGATTATAAAACGTGAAGGTTAGTGTAATTTCCTTAGTTACGATATTATTTCCACATAAAAATAGTGATAACCATGGAAGCAGGTTGCTTTACGTTTTATAATAAGGTCGTTGATTATCCAAATATCTAATGGGATCAAATATTGTATTTTTATTCCCACCTAGCTACCCCCGCGAACTTCGTTACGCCTTATTATAATTTTTTAATTAGTCTAACTTTTTAGTAGCTACATATGGAACATTTTACTATGCTTCCCCATGGATACTTTTCGCTTTTCCGGAACAAAAATCTAATCACTTTTTTCTTATATTTTTCCAATTGTTATCTCCATAAAAACTTCCTCAGAGTTCAAGTAATAAATAAAAATAATGCTAGAATTAGTCCAGCCGTCTTCAAGTTATTTTGCGATTCATATTTACTAAATTTAAAATCATTTTAAATTAATAAATATAAATTTCTAGAAATAATATAGCAATTACTAACCTGTTTGATAGAATCCGATATAAGGACTGTGTAAATACAACACACGCCAACGTAAGTAGATAATAGCGAAAACTCCGCTATAATGCTGAAATAAAAAAAGTGTAGATCTATTTATTTACTTCCCAAGTATCAAATTAATAATAATAATGCAGGGTGGTGTGTGGGTTTTGTCCCTGATTGCAATTGTTTCTTTGATGTTTTTGTGCACAGAAAACACCCAACCATAGGTTAGAAAGAACGCTTAAGGTAAAGAGAGCAACCTAGATACAGGTAGGAAAATGTTTATTTTAAGTTTTCTTGTTTTTTATCTATAAATGTACTGTGTACTGTATGTATATGTGTTTTACTTGACTTATGTTTTCTGTTTCGTATATTTTGTTTGGCAATAAAATCTGTTTTGGCTTAGCTACTGTTGCTTTAAGATTACTTATAAATAAATAAATAAAATTCCGAAAAATGATTTAACAAATTCTCTGTAGTATGAATGAAAACATTTACTTAATTATGGAACTATAAGCTATTTTGGCAATATTGCCAGGAGAGAACCAAACAGACTCGACAAACTGGGTAGGGAGGAGTTATGGTAGGAGAAGTCGGGGTGGGTTGCCTACCCGTTGGTCTGACCAATTATGGGTCTCAAAATTCCTAATGCCCAAAGACAAGATGAGGTTAGGGACGCACCAAGTCAACGCATCGGTTAGGGCTTTTCAAGGCAGGCAAGACTTCAGTAATAGATAATAAGAAGATGGAATTCAGTAATAGACAATAAAAAAAATGATTAAAGGCCTGTGTACGAGAGCTCAATCAGGGCTATTTGGTCTGTAATTGTATTCTTCCACTATTAATAAATACATTGTCATTCCTCGGTCCCACCAAAACGTAATTACATTTACCGCTCATAACCATAGACCAATAACATATCCATAGATTATTATAAACTATTAATGCTACAGATGCAATAACGTCAAATAAAGAATGTTATATGTAATATTTTAGTTTATCTGTAGTATTATAGTTAATTTTGAAAATAATAATAGACCAATCAAATTAAGATATTTGGATATTTGTCACGAAACTATCTTTCTATAATCTATATATTCAAATTGTAAAATGATATATTACCTGGCAGTTTTTGCATAACGCCGTAGACATTTAGGTCCATTTGCGAAGGCGGACTGGCAAGTTTCGGCATAGTTTAACTGAGGTTTCTTTTCTATTTTACAACAGCCTCTAGAAGTTTTCACCTTGAATGGAAATCGAATAAAATTTATGGTACATACAATATATTTTTTGGAATACGAACTTATTTGGGGAACAAATTACTATTTTCGATGAGAGATCTATTTATCCATGTTTAAACTTGAAATAGTGTTATATTTTCATCGTAGTGTTAAAACTAATATTTAAACGAAAAACTATTGCAATACAGCAAGGAAATGCTACCAGCATTAAAGGTACACTGCCACAAGGAACAAACTTTTTAAATTTATTTTAGTTTTCTATTTATCCACTTTGTAAAAATATAATATTATGTGAAATTAAATTAACAATTTATTTCTTAGTATTTTTAAAGTGAAAATCAGGCTTAGATATTTGGTACACATAATGTAGTAATAATAAATTCAAGCATAATAATATAAGAAATCTTGTTGCAAATCTTACATTGTTATTTTGTATGCCTTCAGATAAATTCAATACAAATAAAATCGATTCACAATTAAAATAAACATAAGTAGAATTTTTTTTATATCATTAAATATATATACTTACGAGAATATGAATACAATGCCCACATATGATACCAATAAGGATGGTGCCTACTATACCAATTGCCCACCCAGAGTTGGAGAACGCGAGTGGACCAGCTAAGAGGCCGGAACCCAAAGATGCTTTAATGATGTTTGCAGTAGCCCTGAAATCCCTGAAACACAAATGAAATAATGACAAATTATATTGTAAACAATAAAAATATAAGTAAGCCAAAAAAAAATATAATAAGCGAGTAGCAATTGTGTTAAAAACCTTATCAAGATTTGAAAATAATTACTTTTTCTTGGGAGCTGAATTTGCTGTACTTCAACAACTTTGACACGTAGCCCAGGGAAAACATATACATACAAACGTTACACACGAATAAAGCCATAAGATTGTCTTCGATTTAAGCACTAATATTACATTTAAACTTCACACTGACATCGCTATAAATTCAGATCTATATCTATTAAATTTAAAGTTTTTAAATTAACTGGGTAATTGTTACCATCATTAATAAATACATTGTCATTCAACATTCCCGCCAAAACGTAATCACTTATCACATTTACCGCGCCTAACCATAGACCATAAACTTTCCATAGATTTTTTTTTTTGTTAATTTTATGACCTGGTATCATAGATTATTATGAACTATTAACGCTACAGATAAAACGATAATGTCAAATGAAGAATGTTATATAATCTTTTAGTTTATCCGTTTTTAGTTTAAATTAATTATAATACTGACTGTTTTATAATTAATTTTGAAAATTAGAATTTTAGAAATGTTTATAAAAACGAATGTTTTTGTATTATAATACTTTTTTAAACATAACTTGTATTCATTGTTTTTAGGTAATAAAGAAAAATGAAAGAATATTATTATGTGAAGAATATTGACTTCAATTCTTCACATAATAATATTCATTCAATCTTTAACGGTGATCGTAACTATTAATGCAAAAGTTATAAAATTCGATGAACATAAAATATTTGCCACTTTGAAGAGTATTTTAAAATTGTATTAAGAGTCATCGGTTATTATAGTCAGAAAACCGAACCCATCAATCAATTAAATACAACTAGAGGACACATTTTACACACATATGCATTTTTAATTTATGCTTAAATGCTCAATTTTACGGTGCTTAAAACTTTATGATAATGCTTTTTCAACTGTTTTTTTTAAATATTCATAATTTATTAAAGACCGATATTTGTCAATTGTTATTTGGCATTTACTCTGTAAATATCTATTCTCCAAATCAAACTGTATTTATTATTGTAACCTGTGTATTTTAAGACCCATTATTGAGACGTTAGATTTTTTTTAACGGTTGTAGTAATTTCCCTTCCCCTTCCCTTGTAGTATTTTCTTGTTCGCATAAATAACAAATCGCACATAAACCTTTCAAAGAGGAGATAAGTTGAAGGCCTCTTTTGGATTAAAAAGAGTAAACTGGAGGTTGAAAGGAGGTTGTATATGTCGTAAAAAGATGCAATTAGATTAAACACAAAACATAAAATGAGAGTTAAATTCCAATAAAAAATAAAAATAAAATATGTTTTTATTGTTTATGGAACATAAGATACATCCCTACTCATCGGCAAAGACAGAGGGTGTAGGCCGAGAGAAAAAGCCGGTGTAAAAAACTCTCGGTACTCTTTTAAAATAGCCAATCATCAAACAACACTTATTTTAAAACAGATGTCGCAAATTAATTAGAAGTAGCCTGTCTAGCACTAGTCCCAGGCCCTTTTATCACTATTGAAATATCTTGTTACTATTCATACTATTACTTTATAGTGTTAATAAATAAAACATACAAGGAACGATCTGATTAGTAAAATATATAAACTGCGTTAGATTATCAATTTAATGTCTAGTTTGTCTAATACAGCTATTACTTGATAAATTATTATATTTAGCTAGTCCACGCATATCGACATGAGGCCAGTTGACTTCAGATACGCAATAATTTAGCCTAGATTATTTGTAACCACGCATAAATATTACTTATTATTATTCGTTGCAGTAGTACAGGTATACAGTATAATAAATAAATAAAAATAATATTAAAATAAATAAATAAAAATAAAGGCAACTATCTTAATAATAATGAGTAGTCTTGGCCTAGTAGCTCCAGCACTCAAGACTTGGTCGTAGGTTTGAACCCCGGCTGAATACCAATATGAATAGACATTCTGTCTGTGTGCGCTCGCTCGTCTAGTGAAGGAAAACCTCGTGAGGAAACTGGCTTATCTAAAAAGTTGACGGTGAACCAAGAATTTGAAAAAAATATAATGAAACAGAAATATTACGCCCGGACATAAAACCGTTGTAAAACCACTGTTTATTTTATCAATATTTATCTTGAAAAAGTGATAAAAAGTTATAACTATGAAAGAAAAGATTTACTTAACTATTACATAACTGCTAAGTTAACAATTTAATCTAATTGCCATTGGGATATAATTCTTTAATTAACCTTAGCAAATAAAATATAGCAGTAATCTTTATGGTTTAGAAACTGGCAGTTTCAGTTTCGTATCGCGCAGCCAGGATATACAACGACCACTATTTAGCCTCGATTTGTTTAAGCTATCGCGGAACATGCTTTAAATGAGTATTAAGAATATCCAAAGCGCTAAATAATCTGCATCATAAGCACACTCCACACACACACCCTCACTTACAAACCCTCACTTTCAAGATTCACACCATCACACAATACAACCGAATTTGGTATTACTTAGTTAAATTTATTTAATAATTTTTTATTGATTTTCCTTTCCTACCTTCCTTTCGTAAAAGTTTGAGCCTTTTTGTATATATTATGTATTCCATATTTGGCTGTATCTTTAGTATAATTGTTTTTTGTTATATAATATAATTTATGTTAGCTGTAGGATTACGAATGCTGATAGGGCTTTTGAGTCCTTAGCGCAATACCATCGTTACTCACGTACTAGTTACGTTTTAAACTTATGCATATCGATTTTGTATAACGAGTTATTTTATTTAGTTTAAACTGATGTCTCAATGAAATTTAAAATAAATAGCTTTGTCTAATTAGCTGGCGCAGTCTATTCATTTAATTTCATACTGTTGTGGTTATAGTCAAAGTGCAAACTTAAATTTATTATTATATATTTTTATTTTTTTTCAAAAGGCACACTAACGAAACATACAAACACTTACAGAGAACACATAACATAGAAAACACGATACATGCATGTGCATCAATAACAAGTGTGCACAACATTTATAGGGAAACATTACAATGATGAAGAGAAAATAACTTCAACATTAAAAGTAAAAAACAAACATGCAATTTACAAATACATATAAATAAAAAACAATAATTTTCAACTTTGCAATTATCACTATTGGTCACGGATCAACATTGGCATATATATATTGTGGTTAATTAATTTACATATTTAAAGGCTTACCTTCAAGGCCTTTGATAAAAATAAGTGGGTACCTAACTGGTATTTAGGTTATGCATTGATAGATTATATAGTGATGACAATTTTAGCTCTGAATGCAACATAAACTAGAAATAGTATTGGAATCGAATTTATTGTTTATGAAATTTTATTTTTTTAGTGTATCATGCATACATACTCCATGGTGCAAACCGTCTTTATTAAGAATAGGTATAATATTTGACGGTTAGGTGACACAATGCTTACGTTTTTTGATAAAACGTACAAATGATATTCAAGAGTTTCATGTCATTGATGGAGGTCAATAATTAGTCATCCAATTTCCATAACATTTCAAACACATATTTTTTGTTGATTTCCTTTGCGTGTAAACAGAAAAGTATTAATGAAATTTTTATAAATGAATTTACATTATTGAATTTTATATGAATGAAATTTATCTTTGGACTAGTGAAATATTCAAAACCAGTTTCAGAGGTTACGAGTTCATCGAACAAAAGACGAACTGGACAAGCGTGTGTCTGCAAACAGACTAAAGGCGGTAACAGTTTTGAATACCATCGCACTTTTTTGACGATACTAATTATTTAGGAGTCTCGGAGGACCTTCATTGGAACACCTCCAAGTGAGTTTTGCTCCGGAAACGCGTCAAAAATTTTATAAAGATTTATAAAGTAAACTTTGCACTGTAAAACTAATTACCGCTAGTCTAGCATAAACCACATTCAAAATGGCCGATTAAGTTTATAAAATTAATAGGGATGTGAAAAATAATCGATTTTTTAAAAAGTGAAAATCGATTTTTGTATTCGATTTTAATATTAAAAATAATTGAAAATTCGGCGACCAAATATTCATATACTAACTCTAACCTAACCAATCTAAATAATATTTTTTTTTTGTGGACAGCTCCGATCTAAATAGTAATTGTTTATTCAAGCCTCGGCTTCTCGGCGTCCTGGTCGCCTTCGGCGACCAAATATTCATATACTAACTCTAACCTAACCAATCTAAATAATATTTTTTTTGTGGACAGCTCCGATCTAAATAGTAATTGTTTATTCAAGCCTCGGCTTCTCGGCGTCCTGGTCGCCTTCGGCGACCAAATATTCATATACTAACTCTAACCTAACCAATCTAAATAATATTTGTTTTTGTGGACAGCTCCGATCTAAATAGTAATTGTTTATTCAAGCCTCGGCTTCTCGGCGTCCTGGTCGCCTTCGGCGACCAAATATTCATATACTAACTCTAACCTAACCAATCTAAATAATATTTTTTTTGTGGACAGCTCCGATCTAAATAGTAATTGTTTATTCAAGCCTCGGCTTCTCGGCGTCCTGGTCGCCTTCGGCGACCAAATATTCATATACTAACTCTAACCTAACCAATCTAAATAATATTTGTTTTTGTGGACAGCTCCGATCTAAATAGTAATTGTTTATTCAAGCCTCGGCTTCTCGGCGTCCTGGTCGCCTTCGGCGACCAAATATTCATATACTAACTCTAACCTAACCAATCTAAATAATATTTTTTTTTGTGGACAGCTCCGATCTAAATAGTAATTGTTTATTCAAGCCTCGGCTTCTCGAGCGTCCTGGTCGCCTTCGGCGACCAAATATTCATATACTAACTCTAACCTAACCAATCTAAATAATATTTTTTTTTGTGGACAGCTCCGATCTAAATAGTAATTGTTTATTCAAGCCTCGGCTTCTCGGCGTCCTGGTCGCCTTCGGCGACCAAATATTCATATACTAACTCTAACCTAACCAATCTAAATAATATTTGTTTTTGTGGACAGCTCCGGCGCTACGGGAAATGCAGCCCCTCCACCCTTGCGTACCAAAGCACAGGCATTTTATTCAAGCCTCCGCAACCTCGGCTTTTTGGTCGCCTTCGGCGACCAGCCTCAGCCGCTACAGCTTTCATAATGTCTGTGCTTTGTTACAGCGGGTGGGGGCTGCTCTTCCTCCGCGCCTCCGATTATTTATATACACTCTAGGGGTAAGACAGACAAGACCACGTGGATAGTGGGGTGCTCTGATTCGGTTTTGGGTACTTTTTGGATATTAAAGTAAACACTTTATTCTAGTAAAAAATTAAATAATATAGAAAGTTGCAAACAATGAAATACAAGTACTAATTAGAAAATACAGACGAGTAGGTATCGATAATTTCAAAAAATTTCGGAACCCTATAATCTATCAACACGAAATTAGGTTAATTTCAATGTTGATTATTCTATAACTTTAAATTTCAAAAATGAGGAAATAATCGATAAATAAATAAAACGATTATTAACAATCGATAAATTAAAAACACGATTTTTTTAAGTGAACGTCACATCACTTATAACCAATAGAAAAGTAGAAAATGGCGGATTGTTTACAAATTTTAATACATTACACAAAACTTTAAATTTTTTATAAAAATATTTAGACGCGTTTCCGGAGCAAAACTCACTTGGAGGTGTTCCAATGAAGGTCCCCGGACACTCCTAGATAATTAGTATCGTCAAAAAAGTGCGGTGGTATTTAACACCCAACCCCTAAAGGCCAGGTCCTGATCTTAGTTATGCCTATTAGAACCACGACTGCCCCTATTTATTACCCATTTGAAAGAGCCATCGGCAAATTATGTTAATATGTATAATTCCGACACCGGGATACCCTATTTTTAAGATTTTTTTAATTTGCGGGTAGGTACAACGGTTAACATTACTTATTACATTAACATCAAAATTACTTACGAACTGGGCTTGAGGACTTTCCTGTGTTCGTAGGGATTATATTCACCTTCCTTCGTTTCGGACATATTAACTTTTTCACTCATTTCTTTTTCTGTAGCCTCACAGCCGTGATTAGACACGTAATAATCACTATGGTAAATTAATTTAAAACTCTTTGCCTGATTTGGTTTTAATTGTAATAATCATTTCATTTAAATTTGGAACGACGTTAATTGACGTGTTCACACAATAATGTGCTGACAGAATACGTTGTTCGTGCGCTAACTTTGACACTACGTATGTATAGAAATTCTGCGACTAACGTCAAGCAAATCATCAAGCGCTGTTTGCGTCTTGTTTAACAAGCAATGACATCTATGAAATGTATGCTGAAGTTGTTTTGATTTATTCAGCGGATTAAATATTAAGAAGGGGCAATAAAGTTATTATGGCTTTGATAAAGTTTTTACGAGATAGCAGGATTGAAGGTTTCTTTAGAAGTATACGTGTTTTTGTTATATATATTCACATCTCTGATTATATAACCTTCATTTAAAAATTATGTACTTATTAGTGTTTCTATCTAATAACTAATAAGTCTTCTGTTTCTTGCCTACGGTTACACTAGTGTAATACACAATAATTTATAAGCATGCCCAATATATTATTGTATTACTAGTTACCATATTTTCTCGTGTATATATATAATTATACTAGTAGACTCGGCCAAGCGTTGCTCTGACTAAGATTTTTGTTATATTACATAGTAGTAAACTATTCAAGGGAAACGGTAGGAGAACTTATGTGAAAGGTACGAGTAGATGACAGCTTATATGAAACGTTGATAATTTTTACACAGCGCCATCTGTTAGAATTGTATCAAATAATAAACAAATATTTTGCAATAAATTAAAATTGCGACTATAATTTGAGATTTAAACTATCCTATCTCTCAAGTTGGATCGAACTGCACATGGTGTGCAAATTTGATTGATATCGGTTCGGTAGTTTAGGAGTCCATTGAGGACAAACATTGTGACACGAGATTTATATATATTAAGATGAGACTTATCTTAAACCTGATCGTTTTAAACGTTTAAGTATGTTTTCAACTCTTTAAGGAGGGCCTGAAAACCAGTAAAGTGCGTTTTTTAAACATGTTAACACAGGTAAATATGTCGAAATTTTAAATAATAAATATAACATTTTATCGACTGAAGCGATTTTTTTTTGCAAGTTATAAAATTAATGTAATTGGAGCGACAACGAAAATTGTATCCGAATCTTATTAAAATAAATAAATCAGTGGCGCTACAACCTCTTTAGGTCTTGGCCTCAGATTTCTGAATCTGTTTCATGATCATTTTTAAATCTAATAGGCAAGTAGGTGATTAGCCTCCAGTGCCTGACACACACCGACGACTTTTTGGGTCTAAGACATATCGGTTTCCTCACGATGTTTTCCTTCACCGTTCGAGCAAATGTTAAATGCGCACATAGAAAGAAAGTCTATTGGTGCACAGCCGGGGATCGAACCTCAGGTATGAGAGTCGCACGCTGAAGCCACTGGGCCAACACTGCTCAATCCGAATCTTTATTATCAGAGTAAATTTCATCTTTCTTGGTCAATGTTAATTGTTCCTGGGTTCAATTAAAATAATGAATAAACACATTATTGTTTCTATCCATTGGATGTGGAGGAATATGGGACATTAAAAAACTCAGGATGCACTATAAATATTATATTTCTTACAATCATTATTAAATAAAAAAAAATTCTTATGTATAAAAATTGCTATCTACAAAAGCATTTTGGATTTTATAGTAACATTTGTTGCTATAATTTTATAGCATATGTACTACAAATAAATAATAGTTAATCAAAGAAAAAGGAATTATAATTCATATAAAATGTCAATTAGATATTGTCATACTATACCTATATACTATATCTATATATACTCTTCGCGATACTTAAAACCTATTTATGAATATGGTATTTGCATCAATTTCAACTAAAGATACTAAAAACAAATTTAAAAGGTTTGGTCCCTATGGCAGTGTACCTATAGCGCTGGCAGCATTTCCTCGCTGTATTGCGATACTTATTCGTTGAGCGAGGAAAGCACCAGCTCTGGGGTCACCGGTAGTATCACCAAGCGCCAACTTAAATCTTTAATCAGCGCCTGTGCACTTGAACCTCACGGCCCAAGAGTCTCTACATTAAAGATTAATTTAAAAACAAAACAACATTAGTATTAAGCTTATCGTAGCGTGTGAAGTGTTGTTATGATTGACACCTTTAAAACATTTAAAGACATTTCATATGAATTATAACTCCTTATCCCGCATACATTTCATAGGTGTAATTCATTCATTTTCATCGTTTTTTGAAAATCCTGAATCAAACTTAATTCAATATGAATAATTATTTGTGATCCACCAGGGGTTTCTTGTTGTTGACAGGGATTTTGCAGTAGGGAATAAATAGGGCTGGTTTTGTTGGGGATTATAGTTATTAAAAGTTGGATTGGCATCATTTATAAACTTCTGTGGACCTACTGAGCCTAGCGAAGATGTAAAACCTGTTCTAACTCGTGGTGTACTTGAAGGGAAGTTTTTATAGAGAGGAATAGTGTTGAGATAGTTTGGTTGTTGATAGGTTGTAATACTTGGGTCACAGACAGTTCCACGAACCAGATCATCGAAGTTGGCTGTGAAAATTCTGAAGTTTATATCGCTGTAGTCCAATTCAGATTCTAAGAATATGGACATTCGGTCTGATATTACCCAAACGTTTCTTCCTTCGTCGACTTTAACATCACACGGGAAGATCATCGAAACATCATCTCTATCAACTACAGCTGTGTTTTGTGGTTTCATTGGCAGTTGCGTGTTCCAGCACCCAATGGCATTTTGATCAATTAAATTGTATAGCTGAACACCTGTATCATCCACTACTTTAGCGGTTGTATGAGTATCGGGACCTCTTGATCCAATAACTTTGAAATCTTTGTAAGAGCCTTTCACTTTTGTTTCATCCCTAAGAATACGCGTTGATACAGCAAATTCTGTGTTGCTCGTTATTGGGCTGAAGTAGAGAGTTCTGAATCCATCGGGTCCTTTTGGTGAGGCGGAAATTCCGAAAATGCCTTCGGAGATCCATTGGAAGTTCATGCCGGCGATATTGAAGTCACCAACCAAGGGGTCGGGCAGGAAAAATCCGTGACTGAATCGCCACGACTTGTTTTGTTCCCAAGAGTAAGTGATCAGACCGTAGCCCAGTTCGTCTGAAAAGTAGGCGAAGTAGTCGTCACAGGTGTCACCTTCGTCTAATGCTATGTTGGCGATGAAGGTCGTTGGTACGATATCTTCAGGCCGGAAGACGTATCTTCTTAGTCTTTGGTTTGTGTGTAAGTCGTAAACGCTAAGCGCATACGGGCAGACATTGGTAACATTCGGATCTGAAACAAAATTTCAAATATTAATTATACTAGACATATGATCATAGAAGTAGCACAGACATGTGACAGAATATTCTATAATTTATGGCTTAAATATGAGAACAAACAAGCATCAATAATGTACAAAGAAACTTAACACAAATTAAGATTACAGTCAAAACCGTTTACGACGACATCGTTTAGAACAACATACCGGTTATATTGACCAAAATCAAAGGTCCCGGCTGAAGTTTGTTAATGTAGAAAATGATAATAAAAAAATAATGATAATTATATGTACGTAATGTCTTTTTATTATAATTTTCTTGTAAAATAAATAAAATGTACAACGTCATCGGCTGTTACGACTATCGGTTTTTATGACCAAATATAAATAGTCCCTTCGATGTCGTTATAACAGATTTGACTGTATTTATAATCACAGTTAAATTAACGCGTCTTCCGTACCCCATATAACGCGGTATTTTCCCCCTATAACGTGGAGTATACTCAAGTTAAATTTCTGTAGTGTGAAATTTATAATGATTTGTCAAGTCCATAAATAGTTTTACGTACCTTTGCAACTGCAGTAGGTACAGCTGTTGTTAGAAAATTAAACTAAATAACTTAGTTAAATTTGTGTTCCTAGCTTTTGAATTGTTAAGAAAACGAGTTTACAAGAATACTTCTACAACACGATTTCCTATATGCGGTCCGGATGTACCGGGGGGATTACTGTACTTCGTTACATTCCCTTTATTCACGATGTTTTCCTTTACCGTTCGAGCAAATTTTAAATGCGCACATAGAAAGAAAGTTGGGTGCACAGCCGGGGACCGAACCTACGACCTCAGGGATGAGAGCCGCATGCTTAAGCATAGGCCAAATTGCTCCCACAAACTCATAAACAGTGAAACGTAAATCCACTGTAAAGTTTTAGAGTAAATAATAGGCTTATTATTATAGCAATCATAGAACCTTACCATAGCCGTAGGTGCCGACATCTAAAACCCATAAACGATCGCATTTATCCGCCTTGATTCTGTACACAGTGGTCAGACCAGTTTCACAGTTTCCAAGCTCATTTTCCTTAAAACTTGGGTATGGTGTCAACTTTGGTGACGGTTCGTATGGTGCGTCCAGAGATATGTAATTCAACGTGGCTGGTATTCCTGTAAATTGAATAAAAATTATTTAAAAATATTGTTTCGTATCGACAATGATGATAAACACTTTTATAAACCATAAAGACAGTCTATTTGCATTTGTATTTTACATTTTTATTCTTTTAACTAAAGTACTATTTGTCTGTTTTTGTAGATTTTAATTGAAATTGTGTTATTCGACTGAAATTTTATGAATAAGAGAGTTAGTTAAAATAAAATGAAGGTTGTTTGAAGATAATTACGAATTGACTTGTCAACGCAGCGCATATCCCGCTTATGTAAAATACTAAAGAAAATACCAATTCGTTGTCTACGAACAAAAGTATGTATTAGGGACAAATTCTTTCATGTTTAAATCTATATTAGTTATAAATCCTTATTTCAACATACACAAATCACTATAAACAGTACATATTTATTCAATACAGTAAAATACGTTAAAAGCCTTTTTAATGACAATTAAATTGGACAAAAAATTTCAGCAATCATTTCCAAAACAATAAGTTTGCATTCTTAATATTTTTAAAGAAAACACTTTTTTATATAACAGGGGGCAAATGGGCAGGAGGCTCATCTAATGTTCTGTGATACCGCCATACTCATGGACACTGCTAGAGGGCTCGCGAGTGCGTTGTCGGCCTTTAATTAATTTAAAACATTCTACTATTCGATCATGTCATCGATCAATCATTAATTTGCCATTTATTTATTATTTCAACTCGTCCGCAAATCCTCTAAAGCTTAGGCAACTTTTAAAATGTTTAATTAATGGAACTGTTCTAGCTTCCGGCAAGACGTTTTTAATATTTTGTTATATATAAATATATATATAACAAAATATTTATTTAGCCTAGTTATTCAGAGATAATGTACCGTTCTAATATAGAAGAAACCTTTTTCCGTATAATATAGATGAAATAATCGGGCAATTTACGATGTATATACATAATAATTGCGTTTACCGGTATCGACAGTATACCCACTTTGTAACACTTCTAGCAATTTTCTAAAGCAAATATGCATTGCGTGTGTTTATTATAATTATTGGGTTGGGCAAATCGTGATTAGGTTTTTGTTCGCGAATACAATCTTAGATTGCATTTAAAGTTTCTTTAGGTTAGTACTGGCAAGTGTAATTTTTTGATAGTCGTGAAGTTAAGAGGGCCTTTGTGAAAAATTCAAGTACATATATGGTAGGGGAGCCCACGATGCTAAATGGGGATTTACTCGAGCGTCGTAGAGACCTATTGGGATGCAAAGCTTAGATAATAAGAAGAAAAAAATGTTATATGATAAATTCCTTTTCATCGGTGGGGGAAGCGGCTATAGATAGTTAAATATGTAAAAAAAACTGTTGCATGGACATCCTCGAGCGCGTCAGATATTGATAGCATCTATGCCCTACGTATTTTTAATAATGTACGTATGTTAATCTGATCGTTTGCATGATGCGGGTGGTTGTATTTAAGGGTTGAAAATGAAAAAAAAAAAAATTTATCGAGCGCGTCAGATTTTCTAAGGGAGTGTTAAGTGCACCAAAAAAAGCTCTCATTCACTAATCTGACGATTTCGATGGGACGCAAAAAACACAGGCATTTTCGTAATTTGCAAAAAAAAATCGCAATTTTGAAATACTCAAGCGCGTCAGATTAAGATATATGTGGTTCATCTTTATGTTCTAAACGTACTGTCTCATAATCTGACGATTATCTAGAGGGATTCGCCTGATCTGACAAAAAAAATTTAGAAAAACGGTTCACCTAAAGGGCCATCCCTGCAACTTCCCGCTAATTCCATTCCTGGGCGCTTAAAATTGATATTTTGAGCTCGCTGAGTTCAAAGAAATAACATTTCTATGCATTTGAGCTCTCCCAGCTCGAAAGTCTGATAGAAGTGTCATAGAACACTATTTTTGGAATTTTCAAACCGCAATAACTTTTGAATGGATCAAGCAATTTTCACGCGGTTGGCGGCATTCGACGCAGTTTTATCATTCCCATAAGTAATTTTGCAATTTTAATTGATCGAACCACAAATTTCGGAGTAATCCCGAATAAACACTTTTTCGGGTTTCTTTCGTTCACGATATCTCTCGAACGAATAAACCGCTTTTGACCAGCTTAGTGGCGATCAACGTGGTTTTTCAAGCTCAAAGGCGGATTAGTTTTTGAAGTTGATCGATAAAGAAACCACTTTAAAAAAAATATTTCTTATTTTTTTAAGATTTTTCAAAATTTCTCAAAATCTATCGGTCCGAATCGGTTCAAATTCACAGGAAATGTAATTTTGAGGGAAATATTTAGAACGCCGTTTAGGAGATTCCGATCGGTTTAAGGAAATGTAGGCATCACGCAGCTGCACGCATTTAACTTTATCGACGAATTTTTGTTATTTCGGCTTGCGGAAATCGTCAGATTATATATTTTTCATTATTCTTGAATTATTTCCTTCAAAATAAAAAAAAATTAGCTACGCTCGAGAATGTCGAGATGACTTTTTTTTTACAACTTTGTTGCCCTCCCTTTTTTTCCGTCACTCTCAAATTGTCAGATTAGTGGAATATACACTTTTTAGGATGTAATTAACTCACCCTACCTTAATCTGATGCGCTCGGGAATTTCTGATGGTCAATTTTTTTTTACTAATCTGATCCTGTCTCCTTCACAGGCGGCCTTATATATGGACCTCATGTTTTGTGGAGGTACTTAACCGAGTACAAGCTATCCCCCCTGTATATTAATCTGCCGCGCTTTAGTAAATCCCGAAATCCCCTCTTGGGCTCCCCTACCATACGTCAATACAATAATTTCAGTTTTTGACAGCTAGAACATAGAACATAGACTTTTCGTACAACGTATTTTATTCGAACGATGCACGTTCCCGATTTTATTTATTTACAAAAACGGCCAGATTTCCATCCAAAAATCTGTATTTTTATTACAATAGCTTTATTTTACGTATATTGTTGGCGTTTGTCGTTTTTACGTTGATTGAATTAAATTAAATAATTAAAAAAGTTTCATCGTTCTTGCCTTGTGTGTACTTTTGCTTAAATCAAATTACTTAATTGTTATAAAATCAGTGGCGCTACAACCTCTTTAGGTCTGGGCCTCAGACTTCTGAATCTGTTTCATGATCATTTTTCAATCTAATAGGCAAGTAGGTGATCAGCCTCCAGTGCCTGACACACGCCGTCGACTTTGTGGGTCAAAGACATGTCGGTTTCCTCACGATGTTTTCCTTCACCGTTTGAGCGAATGTTAAATGCGCACACAGAAAGAAAGACCATTGGTGCACAGCCGGGAATCGAACCTACGACCTCAGGGATAAGAGTCGCACGCTGAAGCCACTAGGCCACCACTGCTCTACTTAATTATTATAACGATTTCATAATTATTATATCACGTATACGCTTTGTTAACTTTAATATTCTGGTATAAAAAATTCAAAGACTACAGATATTAATTTTAAGTTTGATTATATTCTGTGTTTTTTGCATAAGAATACGTTTTTCGTTTATATTTAAGCATGTACAGATTACTGTACCTATTGGCAGATATAAATAATATTTATTGCATCCAGTAATCAGTTTTTGCTTTGGAGTTCTTGTTCCAAATTCTTGTTCTACGTAATGATAACCTATGTATATAACTTTAATGTTTGTTTTTGTTACATGTACATACAGTGTTCAAATGAGTTGTTCGTACTAAAACCTGCAGCTGAGTTTCATTCGACGTCCGTTGTTATACAACTGTGCGTTCTTAAGGCAGTTTTTGCCGCGCACCACCCACTACGTGGAACCAGCTGTCAACTTTAAGAAAAAAGCGTACCAATTCTTAAAAGAACGGCAACGCACTTGGTTTAACTAACTAACTAACACTTGGGTAACATTAGGTTTGCCTTCTATTCTATAAAAAAAAATTAAAAGTTGTGCATACAACCGTTATCAATTATACTATATATGTTGCATTTCTAATCTACACAAATTAATAAATTGTTAAACCAGCAGTTATGGTGGGTTTTTTCCATATGTGGAATCTCAATAACTCGAACCACGCTAAGTGGAAATCCTCAGTAAGTCGAAAAAATTTATACTCTATAACTAGAATTTCAAAAATGTGACTGTAAGTCGTAGTAAGTAAAATATATCATGACGTCATACTGGGAATTCCCCAAAATAATAGCAATAAAATCCAAAAAGAATGTTCGGGTTCTTGGCTTCTAATACATTGTTTTTGTCTTGTACACGTGCAATAAATGAATACATTCATAAAAATATATACTTCAAAACTTAAGTTTAATTGTTATTCAAATTCGACTCTGCAAATCGAAAAATACACTTAGAAATCGAGAATCTGTAAGTCGAAATTTCTGCAGTTAAATCATAAGTCTAGAAGTTCTTGTTAACTCGATTTTTTTGCCGTTCCCTTGACATTCGAGTTATCGGGATTCCACTGTATTACATACATACATAAAAAAAATGGATTTATTATACCAGATAAGGAAGGACTTAAATACACTAAAAATTGCTAGACAGTATATATATAATAGTATGTATATAATATTATTACATAATTATGATTTTAGATTTTAGTAATATAATTTTACCTTCCTCAGAGGATTTAGTTCATAAAACGGGATGGAGATTCCTTCATAGAATCCGGCAGAACGCCAATTTTATATTAGTATTGTAAAAGATAAAATACGTTCCATAGGCTGGTTTGTATTATATAAATTAAAAAAAATAACCATTGCCGAATCCAAGGGATCACGATTGTTTTGTTTTAGGCAATTGCTCCTTACTCAGAATTCTGTTTAAGGCACCATCCCTAGACCTTATTTAGATACAAGCAAGCAATGAAAAAACATTTTCGCCTGAATACTCGTCTTGTGCTTAGTTATCCAAGAGTGATTCAAACATTAATCAAATAAGATTAGGGTTAGCTTCGTCAAGTATGTTTAGTTCCAATTTTACTCACGGAGCCCTACGTTTTCGGTTCAAAGATACTTTATTCATCAAAGAATTCACTTAGTGAGAAATTTTAGAGTAGATTAGTAATGTACATTTATGTAATTATTTATAAAAAGCTATATGAAATAATAGTAGCTAACATTATGTACAATATTTTTTACAAATGTGCAAAAATATTTTCCATATAAAAAATAATGAATACCGTTCTATACATTAGCTATTTGATCTTTCATACTGTTCGTGCTTAGATTACTGTATCACTTACTCCTTTGTTTACAATAATTGTAGCGATTATTCCGAAAATCAAACCGGTTAGTGGGCTATATAGTTAAGGTTTTCTAAACAGTTCGCTAGATTTACTGACTCATGTATTTGTCGAAAGCTTGTCACAAGTTCGTAATAGACATTTTGATTTGAATCTTACGAAATAGTGCCGCAGTACTTTAGAAATTTATAATCATAATTTATATATCACTATGTATAATGAGTAAATTAATTACCTAGTTAACTCCTTTAGTGTGTCAGTTACGCAAAGTGTATAATAGCATAATCACTTATGGTTTAAGAATATATAAAACTACAAAAATCAAGTAATATTAGTTGTTTTAATTATTTTTACGTTTACCATTTTTCCTTCGCAGTACGAGCGACTGTTAAATGTGCTATATTGAGAAAGTGCGCAGCTGGGGATTGAACCGACGACCTAAGGGATGAGAGTCGCTCTCTGAAGTCACTGGGCCGGCACTGTTTAAACTTATTTATTTTCAATAAAATTTTACTATCTTGAGAAACAAAAAGACTTGCAATACGCAATCGACTCAAACCTCAAGTTTTCTAAAATTTAAATAAAAAACACCAACTAAAAAAGCAGCACTAAGTGTAATTTTGTGCCAGATCCATATACATTTTTCTAGAAAAGTTTTGATTAGCTTTTAAAACATTAATTTTTAATTATTTTATAGGGAGATACCCTGTTACATCATACTTTTGTTCCTGGTACTTAAGTGAGCGGCGTTATTTTAATATTTATAATTGCTTTAATGGATTCAGGCGTTAACAATGTTTCTAATATTCGAAATTTAAATGTGAAAAAAGAATGACATTTTTTCGTCCAGTACGTAATAACTTATTTTACCTTATACGTATAATTCACTTATTTACATTAATTATTAAACACCTATATAGATGTTATCTCGTTATTAAATAATACATATCAGTATTTTAATTCCGTATTTAATAAATATATAATTTGTTTCTGAGGTTGTGAACGCGTAACTAATTAATAATTCAAATCAGGTCCACGCCTGGTTTTTCGAGCGAACTTGGAGGTTTGATTCTTTTGCAAAATATTTATTGTTTCGATAAATTAAATGATTAAAGCAGAATTATATTCTATTGAGTTATTACTAAAGAGTAATAGGCAATTCAAAGAGAGCTTGGCATGGACTATTGGCAGGGTCAACGCATATGGCTTGTCTTGCGTTAGTTTTCAGTCGATACCTCAACTGTTTAGACCTAAAAATATTTAGTTATCTTTTATATAACTTGTATATATTTAAATCACATTTAATGTTACTGTCTATAAAGATATTAAGGGAAAATTAACCCTGAGAATTAGAAATGTGTCTGCCCAAAGCCCATTAGAGGGTTATCAGAATTATCCAGGCGAATAATAATTTGCATAAATAATATATAAATACATTTGTATTATATTTTTTTATGCAAATTAGGCAAAAATAAGTACAGAACATTTATTATAATTGCCTTTTAAACTTCAAGTAAATATTATTTTAATAAGAACTTAATTCAAATATTTAATAATATGGAACAAGATTTTTGTTTTTATTTCAAAACATAGCCACGATATCCATCAAAATTTAATTTACTAATTCTTTTTAATAAAAATTGGGAGAGAGAATAAAATATTTACGAAAGACTTTTTAATGGAATTAAAAAGACACGAAAGGACGAGGTTCCTTTCGTGAACCGTTCTGCCGTGTGTTGAACGAGGTGATAATGATCTGGATTTGCAGCGACATGATTTTATAGAAAGGGTTGGTACTGAGATTAATAGATTCTAGATATTAATTTAGACGTCTTGCGCTACCGATTATGAGTAATAAGGTAATTAATAATTCATACCCCATTTATATAAATAAACGGCACTGGACATATTTAATTCTATTAGTAATAAAGCTTATTAAATCAAATAATAATCTTATAATTTTTAGTAATTTTGGATTTATATTGTTGTTAATTAGGGATTTTAAATTAACTACTAAAATGCAGTCATTTTATACATAGACAGTATTACTTAACATGAAACGAGTTATTTAAATAAGAATTCTATTATTTATTAAATTTTTATCAATCAAAAATGTTTGGTCTCTTGACAGGCCATTAACCCGTCAGACAGGTCCTTTCTGGTACGGAGGAAACACAGTAAATACATACCTGGAAACCATCTAGGTACACTGACGAAAAGCTTGTTCCTCCATCTCTCGATACCAACTGGAAGGGCATTTTTAGGATTCAGGGCCCCACTTTCAAGGTCCCTCTGCTTCGAGTACGGATCAGGGTAATTCCAGTCCAAAACATTCCAGGAGTACAGTTCACGCAGTTTTACAGTAGCAGAAATTGTGGCCAATAGGCAGCCGAGTATAAGAAAACGCGCCAACATATTTCTGTAAACAAGGTTTTACTGTAAAAAACGTCTAATACTACGCTTATAAAAACGCACTTTATGATACGTACAATATATACAGCACGAATAGCTTCAGCTGTTTAAAATGAACTAAAGCGCTACGAATTAGCCCCGCTTTATAAAAGTTAATTCTCCTACCAGCGCGTAGAAATGCCGAGGAAATATCCACAGAGCTATTACGCAATCGGCAATAATATAATAAAAATATTTACGCTCGGAATTTTGCAGATATATTTAATTAAATTGAACATTACAGATATGATATTAAATTGATTATACATCATTAGAACTGATCATCAGCATCCCTGATACTTGTGACATTTAATAATTTATAATGGAGTTGAGAGTTTTGAAATAAAGCAATATTGTCGTTGGCAAAAAGGATTTTGTGTTGTGCAAATTTGATGAGTAGATTTCTACCACTTAGGCAACTAATAACATTTATAAATCAAATAATTAATTTATTACTTCTACGTTTATATCTAACTAGATAGGTCATTTTAACATAACTTGCTTTCCATATAGATAGAATAAGAATAGGAATGATTTTTTATAAATTATATGTTAGGGGTATGTAAACTTGCAGGGAGCAGTGTTGGCCTGGTGGCTTCAGCGTGCGACTCTCATCCCTGATGTCGTAGGTTCGATCCCCGGCTGTGCACCAATGGACTTTCTTTCTATGTGCGCATTTAACATTTGCTCGAACGGTGAAGGAAAAAATCGTGAGGAAACCGACATGTCTTAGACCCAAAAGTCGACGGCGTGTGTCAGGCACTGGAGGCTGATCACCTACTTGACTATTAGATTGAAAAATGATCATGAAACAGATTCAAAAATCTGAGGCCCAGACCTAAAGAGGTTGTAGCGCCACTGATTTATTTAATTTTTTTGTATTTAAAACTTGGATTTGAGAATTAATAGTTTTATACGCTGGCAATTTTTTTCTATTATCATTAATAAGGAGTCTTTTGCATTCATAGCTCTCTGGTTGGCCATTCACTGTTTGAACCCACGTGTTACAAGCACGCTCCAATCGCACCAGACGTTAAATCACTTGCTTAATGACATACTGTTAAAAAAAGAGTTCAAATTTGGAATATGTATAAACACTAGGATTTCGCTTCCCTACTTTGATGAATTGATGGAAAACCTTAATTCATAACGTTTGATCTAGTTGTTAATGTCATTAACGTATCTTGCGCCTGATCTGTGGACCTTGATCTTCAGGCATTTCTACCGGTGGTGACAATTCTGATGTTATGGAAGTGGAATTGCTCTTAATCAAAATGATGTTGATGGTGGCAACAGCAAATTTTGTAAATAGGTACCTTAATCAATACGTAAAAGCTGTTAGAGTGAGATTTAGAAAAGGCACTTGACGGAGTTCTTACGTTAAATATGGGAGTCAGACTGAACAAATCTTGTTTCTGAATCTTACCTAAATCTTGTTTTACTTTAAACACACAACTTTTATTTAAATCTGTATTCGTGAAGTGGTTAGTGCTCCGTCAGTATCGGATTGATGCCATGTTGTTTGGAATGTTGGTTGGTTTTTAATCATATTATTATTGTTTTTCGGCATTTAACGCAACTTATATTTGATTCTGACGTTTATGTAACGGGTTAAGCGGGTAGGAGGCTCACCTGATGTTAAGCGATACCGCCGCCCATAGGCACTTACATTGTCAGAAGGATCGCAAGTGCGTTGCCGGCCTTTTAGGAACTGGTACGCTCTTTTTTTAAGGACCCTAAGTTTTTCAAGTATTTTATTATGTATGTGGTTTTGTATAACTACAATAGTAATTTTCATAACAATAACGACATTGGTTATATTTAAAAAAATGGCAATAAAATTAAAAGGCCGGCAAGGCACTGCTGAGCCCTCTGGCATTGAGAGTGTCCATAGGCGGCGGGATCACTTAACATCAGGGGAGCCTCCTGCCCGTTTGCCTCCTATTCTATAAAAAAAAAGTTTGCATACAACGTTTTTCAATTATACCAAAAAACTTTAAAATTTATTCTGTTTTATTGTTCGAATGTTTCCATTGATCCAATCCTAATCTACAAAATTAATAAATGGTTAAACCAGCAATTATGGTGGGGTTTTCCCAAATATTTTGTTTGATGTGTCTATTTTAATTGCGTTGTTTAAGTGTTTTTCGTTCTTGTTGAGACATCAACAGTTATCCTCCTCATGAGGCAAAAAAGGTTCTTCGATTTTACGTCATAATAAATTTGAGATGTACTATGTTTCATACATCACATATTTTAATTTAGGTATGAAGGCATAAATATATTTACAATACTATAACTACATAATATGAAAACAACTAGAAAAATCCTGTCTTGCCAGCATGCAATGGAAAGAAGCATCCTAAAGTTGAGGAGAATAAACAAAATAAAAAATGTTGACATCCGTAAAAAACCCAAACTTACAGATGCACTTGAACAAGCTCTAAGGCTTAAATGGAAATGGGCAGGTCATATTGCTAGAGCGCGGGATAAAAGATGGACACTAGAAATAACGAAATGGACTGGACCTACTGGAAAGAGATGTATAGGACGACAAAGGAAAAGATGGACAGATGACATTGTAGAAGCCGGCGAAAACTGGATGAATGTTGCTCAAGACAAAGAGAAATGGAAAAATATGGAGGAGGCTTTTACCCTAAAAGGGGCCATACAAAAACTAGACAACTAAAAAATTAAAAATAAATCTAACTTAAATTTGTTTAAAACTCATACTAACTTAACTAATACTAATTTCTAAGGAATGTAAACTAACCAATTGTTGTATGGATTAATAAAGCTTTAATAATAATAATTATAATAACTACATAATATTAGGCAGTTCTTTCATTGAGCGCAGTTATCACTAAGTAATAAATAAATATTGAGAGAACCAGCGCCTAAAAAGGAAGTAGTTACGTGTATCAGGGTACCCACACACTTTTTTCTTATCTTCGTTTGACGGACAGGAGGATCATGTGAACGTGATACAGCCCAATGCTCTCGCACTGCCAGAAGGTTTGGACTGTCTTCTTCCATACCTGAAGGAAACCAATTTTAAAGTTCTCGCAAATGCTGATGTCGAAAACTTGGAAACTTGATTCGAAAACATAATATTGTAGTGACGCTACAGCTACACAAATGAACGCTAACAGCTAACATCGATAGCCTATGCAGAAATATAAGTACAAGAACTATAAAGCATAGAACCGCCATTGAATTAATACTATAAGTGCATGATATATAGATAGGATTAGATAGATATGATAGGATTGCAGCTGTTTTATTCACAGGAAACTCGCCTTGTCAGCTGAATGTGTCAAACTCCTGCGACCTTCGCAAAGTAGGTGAAATAGAGCGGAAATTCCGTGTAATCGTGCGCAAAACTGATCGATTTATACAGAACTTGTTCGAATATCCATTATGAAAATATATCATTATGTAGTATTTAGATCAAATATTGGAATATTAAGTTCGTTGATTTTATTTACATTTATTATAAATTCAGTGTGGATTTTAGTCATTAATATCTAAGGTTTTAATATGTCGAACAAATTCGTTGACATAATATAAAATAATCATATTTGACAATACCGCTAAAGGGTTATAATTGAGGTATTTTATAGTCGACAAGATTACATATTTCGTATAAAATAAAACAAAAATAAATTAGTGGCACTACAACCTCTTTAGGTCTTGGGCCCAGATTTCTGAATCTATTTCATGACCATTTTTAAATCTAATAGGCAAGTAGGTGATCAGCCTCCAGTGCCAGACACACGCCGTCGACTTTGTGGGTCTAAGACCATCACCACTCACGATGTTTTTCTTTACCGTTCGAGTATATGTTAAATGCGCATATAGAGAGGAAGTCTATTGGTGCACAGCCGGGGATCGAACCTACGACCTCAGGCATGAGAGTCGCACACTGAAGTCACTTGGTCAACACTGCATATTGCGTATAAACAGTTTATTTTTCGTTTACTACCTTGCTAATGTCCAGGGATTTTTCCATGTTGTTACTAAAAAGATACATAAATTAAAACCATACTTCGTGTTGCGTGTCTCTCAAGATACGCCTTAGCTACATCGGTAATATTATTATTTACAATATTCATGGGCGAGCCGGGGCGTAATTGCAAGATCCGGCCTTACATTTTTGTTTGCCTCCTTCACATACGTCATACTTTTGTCATAGAACCGTTCCAGGCATGATCTGTGCTTTGTTAAGATGTTCTGTAGATCATTACGGTCTACTGTTATCTGTGTTTGTTGCTCCAGGTCGTGCCTGGACGGTGCGAATATAAGGCAATGTATAGGCACTAGTTTAAACAGAAATATGGAGTAATATTTAGCAATCGCGCTATCATTTAATGTTGCAACATTAAAGCTACATTAGCCAGACATTTTACAGGTACTTACTTATTACCTAATAATATTTAGGAGATATGGTTTAGGTACTAAATATTCGCGTAACACCGGTAACTTGCTACAATAAACGTTTAGTAACATAAAAAACAAGTTAAATAATTATTTTTATATGCATTTGTTGGGCTCCTGACATGACTGCTATTGTTACATTAATACAACACAGTGGTTTTAAAATATACCATGATTTAGATTGAACTTGAAACTATTTACTGGAATAAAAGTTAAATGTAAGTAACCACGCGACCATTTGTTTATTGATATAATAAAGCCCCTTTAATTTTATACTATACATTTTTTTATTCAAACGGCTGTTAATTAGTCTAGGTTAGTTATTATTATTTCCATTACTACATGTTTTGTGCTTTTGCATACAATATTTTAGACTTTGACATGCCAAGTGAATAATGTTTATATTACGATTATATTTTTCAATTTCATTTATTTTCCTTGCTTTAAGGTACACCTTAAAAATACATTTTGTATCCATTGTAAGTGTAAACATTATGCGGGTATATCATAAACTCTTTTGCTTGATT